AGGGCTCCCGAGGATGGCGTTGCTGCCTTCCTTTTCTGACTCAAAATCCATTCTCAGTCTTACATCTGTGGGTGCCTGGCTTGAACCAGTGTGACCCACTTCTGACACTCGCAACTGGCCTTAGAGACGCGGACCGTCTTCTGGGGCTCCCATCTGTGAATGTGGACCCAGGTCGTGTGCCTAGTGTTCAGAGATGAATACGGGCTCAAAATCCCCAAGAGAAGGGTACGTGCTTTGACTGGATGACTTGAAAAGCCACAGTAAACAGCGAGGCGCACAGATACATACTAGGAACCGCTTTTCGTCACTGCAGTGTGGCTTCCAGCAACACCCGCCCGCGGGGGAACTCAGACAACCCTGAAGAGTGAGCCTGGCCTCTCCCTGGCTCTGCCTGCCCAGGCGCCCCTCCCAGCCTGCCCTCAGGGGGTCCTGCCCTGATGGGAAAGCGCCCCCCATCTTTGGGGCTGGAGAGCTGGGGAAGGAGGAGGGCACCTGAGAGACTTGTAACAGCCGGGACTAGAGGAGACTTTTCTGGATGTTGGAGGGGAAAGACGCTCAAGAATTGAGTGGGCAGGAGAGAACAGTGGGAATTTTTGAACACATCCTGCTCTAAACATTCCCCTTCACGGTGCTCAGGAAAGGCAAACAAAGGGCTTGCGTTACTTGGAGACATTTAGCAATGGCAGCCCACCAGATGGGATAGAGGAATTTATGGGATAAAGGCTTTACTCAAGGGGACTTCCCTGGCGGTCTACTGGCTAAGACTCCATGCTTCTACTGCAGAGCGATGTGGGTTCGAGTCCTGGTCCAGGAATTTAAAATCCCACAGGTTGCAGTTTTTTTGGCATGGCCAAAAAAAAAAACCTCTTTACTGTTACAACAGGTGGGCTCCTCTCCTCAGGGAAAAGCAGGGCAGTTGTGGCTGTCGGGTGGTGGCTTTCTAAGCCCCCTGATGTCTCCCAATGAGCTGGCCTCATTCCGAGTCTGAGAAGGAGTTTCCAAGCACCTCTCACTTCTCCCAACCTAGACGTGGCCTGGGAGCCCCAAGGAGCACACGGGGCTTTCAGCTGTGACCCACAGCGGTGTGCAAGGTCCCCTGCCCGCAACCCCCTGGAGCACAGTCAAATTATTCATCCCCACACGTCTGGACCAGACATCTCACTCTCAACGTGCAGATGTTTTTCAAAGTTTGAAAACTAGTCACCAAGGTGGCTACTGCCACCAGTGACCGATGACACTCGTGTGGAGCTAGTGACAGCAACGGGATCTGTGTGGTATGGATGGAACCACTGTCCCGGCCTCCTCGACACTGTTTCCCAACAAAACTGGTCCTGCTGCATGGTGCATGATCCCGATCCATCCTGGCAGTTCCCCCAGAGAAAGTGGGGGAGGCCGTGGTCTTCTGTGGAGTGCCTGGGTTTCAGAGCAATCGGCACCGTTTCTGGAAAGGGCAGCTGGCATGGTTATGTCTATGGGTAGCAGAACAAGCTAAGAATGCTATGAATGGTCCTCCACCCACTGTTCTAAGAGGGATTAGGCAGGAGAAAATGTGACAAACCACCCTTAAGTTTCCCAGAGGTCAAGTTCATTTGGTTATCAAATCCCACAATGACAGAAATTGAGAGAGACCCATCTCTTTTTTTGACGCTGTAGTAAAGTATTCATGTTACCTTCTATGGCGCACAGAATAAGCTCCCCCCAACCCCACACACATCTAAGATGTTTACATCCGATCTCTGGAACCTGTGACTGTGCTATCTGGTGTGGCAAAAGGAACTTTGCAAATGTGATTTAAGTTGAGAATCTTAAAATAGAGAGATTACCCCAGATTACACAGACAGCTCTCACTGTCACATGAGATTATTAAGGAAAGAGGAGTCAGAGAAGGAGATGTAACAATGGAAATGGCAGCAGAGTGATGCCAGGTGAGACAGACTCAACTGGCTGGTGCTGGCTTTGAAAGTGGAAGGGGACCCCAAGCCAAGGAGTACGGAAGCCTCTTGGAACAGGCAAGAAAATGACTCCCCTGCAGAGCTTCCAGAAGGAATGAACCCTTGTCAACCCTTTCATTTTACCCCACTGAGACCCACTTTGTTCGCCTGACCTCCAAAACTGTGAGATAATGTACATCTGTGCTGTTTTAAGCCACAAAAAATTTGTCATAACTTGTTACAGCAGCCGAAGGAAATGAATACACTTTCCTTAAGACTCTTATTCCTTAAGACTCTTATCTATTCCCTGATAGCTCAGTTGGTAAAGAATCCACCTGCAGTGCAGGATTCCTGAGTCAGGAAGATCCCCTGGAGAAGGGATAGGCTACCCACTCCAGTATTCATGGGTTTCCCTTGTGGCTCAGCTGGTAAAGAATCCACCTGCAATGAGGGAGACCTGGGTTCTATCCCTGGGTTGGGAAGACTCCCTGGAGAAGGGAAAGGCTACCCACTCCACCATTCTGACCTGCAGAATTCCATGGACTGTATGGTGTCGCAAAAAGTCGGACACAACTGAGCAACTTTCACTTCAGTTTCACTTTAAGACTCTTATACCTCCCCAGGACAGGAATGAGATCTGATTCCTCTCCTTGTGACCTAGTGGTAGTGCCTTGCTGGCAGTGGTTCTTCATTAATATTTGTTGAGGGATTTCCCTGGGGGTCCAGTGGCTAAGGCTCTGTGCTCTGAATACAGGGAGCCAGGGTTCCATGCCCGGTCAGGGAACTAGATCCAGTATGCTGCAACTAAGACGTGGCACGCTGCAATGAAGATCAAAGATTCCAAGTGTTGCAACCAAGATCTGGTGTATCCAAATAAATAGATAAAAATAAAAATTTAAAAATATGTATCTGTTGAATGAATCTACCTGGTCCCATGAAAGATCTTATCCAAGTCATTTAGTCACCTCTGCACACATAATCACAGAGGTCTTAAAACCAAGTATCCTCTGGTATGCTTTGATATTAATATGCCCATCTCCAACTAGAAGCTTCTCGAGAAGAAGGGCGCAGCTGTCAGGCTGGCGCATGTGCTCTGAACATAGCGCTGTGCACTGACTGAGCCGCAAATCCCCTCTGGGGGTTCTTTGGTAACATGAAGCTAGAACCAGGCTTGCTTCACGAGCAAGGGGAGGGAAGAAAGGAGGCAAAGGACATCCCAATTCTTCCGAGGAATTTTACAGAACAATCCAGTCTGGGACAGGCTTTCCCTGACCCTGGTCTGAAGGTCCTAGTCTCTTTCTACAGCCCAGACGTCCTACTTTCAAGAAAGAATCTAACATTTATAACGTACAGCCCTCCGTGAATTTACATCAGTGGATCTCCTCTCTCTGGAGCCCGTGCATTCTAAATCTGTTCTCTGCTCAGTGTGAAGGAGTTTTTAGAGACAGTCATTTCCCCCTCATAACACCCCACAGTCTCTAATGCTGTCAACACCCTCAGACTGGCTGTGCAGAGACAATCTACGACCAGAAAGAGTGGCAAAAGAGTGCTGAACCAAAACCCTTAAAGATCACATCAACCTGTGCAAAGATGAGCACAGAACTGCCATCCATTCCTTGGACAGAGCCTGGGATGCCTTCTACATCACTTCCTGACATGGAGTGGTTCCCGCGTTCTGGCTGCAAGATTATGTGGGATAATACACAGGGATCGCAGGGAAGGAAAGAGTCTAGCATCACCTTCAGGTTCCTGATTGGGGTGATGGTTCGACGGCTGATTAGCTTCATATTACAATTTGAAGACAGTTGAGAAGAGGAAGTCTCAGGATGAACAATCCCACTATTATGGCCAGGCTGCCACCAAGGAGCCTGCAGGGACCCATTTGGAGGCCTCGAAGCAGACACTGGAGATGTGGGGCTAGGGCCAGGACAGAGGTCTTGCTGCAGTGATCAATGCCTACCTGAGGGTAAGCGATGCTGGGAGTTGACAGACCAACAGATTAAATCTTCCAGGTGAGATGAAAAAAGGGTAGAGTCTGAAAGCATGGTCAGCACCAACATTTGAGAAAGCAGACAAGTAGAAAAGTGAACAAAGAAACAGAAAAAAAGTGGTTAAGAGGGTCAGGAGAGATAGGAAGCTAAAGACCTTGAGGGGGACTTCCCTGGTGGTCCACTGGCTAAGACTGCACATTTCCAGTGCGGGGGCCCAGGTTCAATCCCTGGTCAGGGAACTAGATTCCACATGCTGCATCTATAAGATCCTGCATGCTGCAACGAAGACTGAAAAAAACTGAGTGCTGTGACTGAGGTCTGGTACAGCCAAAGGAATAAACGAAAACAAACACTCTTTTAAAGTTATAAAAAATAAAGCTAAAGACCTTGAAAGAATGTTTCAAGAAGCTGAGGGTTAGGGGTGTCAGGGGTCCCAGCAAGGTCAAGGATGAGGGGACTAGAAAGAGCTCCCTGGACCGTGTCAGGATGCTAGTGGACTCAGCGGAGCAGTTTCTGTAGGAAGAGTGTGTGTATGTGCGCGAAAGTGTTTGGGGAGCAGAAAGGATATCACAGTGGACTGGGAAATAAATGGGAACTGGGGACGTGGATTCAGCAGGTCTCTTTTTAAGAAGCAGGGAGGGACTTCCCCGGTGGTCCATGCTCCCCACGCAGGGCCCCAAGTTCCACCCCTGGTCAGGGAACTAGATCCCACATGCCATAACAATAGATCCTGTCTGCCAAATAAATTCAATAATTTTTTTTTTTTTTAAGAAGCAGGTAAATAAAGGAGGGAAAGAAGAGAAATGGGGCACTAGCTTGAAAGGAAATCGGGATCAAAAGGAAGTTTCCTTGCTTTAAAATTAAAAGAAAACTGTGAGATACAACCAGTGAGGGAGCAATGAGGACATGGGAGAGGGAAGACTCGGAATGCTGGGCTGGAGGGACGCAGCAGGATTAGATGTGCACGTGGCCCAAGTGGCGATGACCAGGGCGTGGCCGCGCGGCCACCACCCTGCAGGGGCGGAGGACCACTCCCCGCCGTGGCCCTCACGTGGCTCTGCCCCAAACACCTGCTCACCTCGTGGAGTTTGTCAGCCTTCTGGGTCTGCTTCTTCCGACTTCTCTGTGCAGCAACCCGGTTTTTCTCTCGCCTCCGGACCTTCCTGTCGTCATCCTCAGGGCTCTGGGGGAAAGGGCGTGGTCAGGCGGGATGCTGAGGCCCCTCGCTGCCCCTCCTCTGCCTGCTGTCTTCATCCAGCCCTGGTCGTGGAGCGTCACCGTGTTCGCTGCAGTCACAGCAGCGCGTGCTGCTCCATCAGCGGGGGAAGAGCGGCCCCGCGTCGAGGGAGCACTAGCCACGCGCTGTGGCTGTTAGCTGCTACCCCGCCCCCGCCACCCCCGAGACCTGTGTGGCGGGGCTGCCATCTAAAAGATGAGGAATAAGAAACTCCGAGAGGCTGAGGAACTTGCTCCAGGTATCACAGCTAGTGGGGGGCCCAACGGGAAGTGGAACTCAGGTCTGCTGGACTCCAAACCAACGTTCTCAAACCTTCCACTCCCCCCCACCCCCGCCCCTGGGCGTGTGCCTGGAAGAGGTGTGGTGTTGGTGTGCATCTGAGGACGGGAAAGGCAGAAGGCGGCTGCTATCTGGGACTTGCCGTGGGCCAGGCCTTCCACCACCACACACAAACTGGTACTTTTGACACTGTGTGCAAATCAGAACTATGCTGATTACTATTGCAGCCATGCAACTCTCCCAACACACCAAGTGGTCCTAAGCGCCACAAGCAGCTCATCCCTTTGAGCAAAGCTTGACTGACATTTTTTTTTTCACAGGTCAGAGCAATTTGAATCAGAAAGCAAACTGATGATGTGTCTTGAAAGCTCTTAGCTATATATGAGATTTAACCAAACTTAATCAAGTCCTTCAAGAGTTAACCTGAAAAAGCAGGTAGAAAAACGCACCTACAATGGTAAAAATACTTCATCCAGTTATAGAAAACAGAGGAGAGGTGTAGTATTTGCTTCCCAGAGGCCTATGAGAAGATTCCATAGAAATACTACCTTTAAAGAGTTTAGAGATCAAGAAATCAGTGGGATACAAACACAAGAAAGCTACTCAGTTATTACTATTAATGAAAAGCAATTATTGATAATATGAAATAATGGATGTTTTCAGATATCATTTTATCTGGTCTAATATTACAAATAAGAAAGATAAATATCTCCCCAAGTTACAGTGAGTAGAGAATTTTCAGCATATGCAAGAATACAAAGCTATGAAAGGAAAAGAAGAAAGAATGTGACATAGAGAAGTGGCTTGAAGACAGTGTTTAAGGGACCAGACACAAGATGTTACGACGTAGTCTTCAAGAGGCAAAGAAGTCTTGGTGGTAACCAGAACACAACAGGGAGTCTGACAAGCAGAACTTCAGCTTTAGAAATACAGGTTCTTGGTTCTGTCTCTTACTATCAATATGGCCTTGGGTAAATGACTTATACTCTCTGATTTTTTTATTTTCTCATTTGTTGTGTGATTCATTCATTCTTTCAGTAAGTATTAACTGAGTACCTGCCATGTGCCAGGCACTGTCCTGGGCACTAGAGACACATGCCCTGAACAAGTGGTCAATAACCCCTGCCATGATCATACTAGCAGCCCAGCGCTTGGAGCTGCATAAGATAAAACTAGATTTTATCCCAAAGTGCCACATGGTGTGTCTTCAATAACCTCTGTTATTTACTGTTGAGTCCCTTATAGCACTCATCACTGAATCATGCCTCTCTGGTCATCATCGGAGATTCATAAGGCACACAGGAGGAGCATGCATCCTGCCTTGTAAAAGTGGACACTCCAAACTGGATTGATCACCTACCACATGGTCAGACCTGACAACCAGCAGAAACATCTAATCAAGGCAGAAAGAGAGCAAAAAATGTTGAGATATTCATATGGTACTAACCATATCTCAGTTAGTCCTCATAAAAATCACAAGAAGTTGATATTATATTTATTTTTACACGTGGAGAAACTGAGGCTCAGAGAGGTGAAGCAGATTGCCCAAGGCTACTCAGCCTGTGTGGGCAACGCTGAGGCCCAGACTCAGCTGTGTGACTCACTAGCGTCACCCGATGACATTCTGTGCCAGGCACCTAACTGAGAAGCAGGGCATAACCCTGAAAAGACTCGGTCCTAACGCAGCTGAGTGAGAAGTTCTCGGTCTGCCGTCCCTGCCGGCAACCTTGTGTGTTTCCCCGAGTACAGGGCTGTAAACACCGCGGTGGACAGCGCAGAGGGCCCGGCGCCCGCCGAGGGCTCTCCACCCGCCCGGAGGTTGGAATCTGCCCACCTCGGGCCCCCACCTCGCGTCCCTGGGGCTGCCGGAGGGGAGCACACGCTGAGAGTGCCTGGGCACGAGCCGCCCCTCAGAGCGGAATTTCCCCTCTCCACACCTTGGCCCCAGCTCGGCGCCGCGGGGAAGGACCACGCGCTCTGGCGATGGGGCGGCAGCCGGCGGCGGCGCACGGATGGCGACACCCAGGGCGGCCCGGACCCCACGTGCGGGGCGGCGTGGACAGTGCCCAGCCCTACCAGGCGTCGGCGCCCTCTGACCTCTGCTCCTCCCAGGCTCAGGAGCCCAGTCACCATCCCGGACACCCTGGGCACCTGGCGTGCGCCCGAGGCGTCCCGGCAGAGGCGTACACCCGGGTCCCCGCGCGCCCCCCACGCCGCTCGCGTCCGGCTCCCGCGTTGCCCTCCACCCCTGCTCCCAGCAGTCCCCATCCGGGAGCCCCAGCACCCACCTCCTCGCGCCCCCCGTGGCGCGCACACCGCTCCCCCCAACCCGGGCATCCCCGCGAGCCTCTATCTTGCTCGCTACCTGTGGCCGCGTCTGGTTCCCGGGCACCGAGATGCTCCTGTGCAGGACGCTGCCGGCCGCCGGGAGCCCTTGAGACATGCCGGGCGCTGCTCCGGCCCGGCCCGGCCCGGCCCGCCGCGCAGCCTCGCGGACGAGCGGCCTCTTCCCGTCCCTGAGTCCGCCCCGCCCCGCCTTCTCCCACCCCCGCTCCGTTTCCTCCTCTCCCCGCCCTCTCGTCGCACCCCGGGGTCCCAAATCCCACCCCTGCCGCCGCTTTCCGCTGGGCCCCCCCTTCTTCGTGGAAGTCACGTGGTGGCTCCGAAACCCAGAAGGGAGCGCGAAGCCCCCCAGCAGAAGCGAGGCTGGGACAGGTTGCGGTGGTGGAGGCGCGGCGCAGCCCTGGAGGGGCGTCTCTCGGCCGCTCTCGGAGAACTCGGGCTGAGAAACTCCAGTGGGCGGTTTGGGGGTGGGTGGTTTGGGGAGGGTCGGTGTTTTTTTTCCCGGTCCCATCGCGGCATCTTCCTGCGCATCCGCCCCGCCTCCCCTCCCCCTTCCCGGGCGCAGGGGTCACAGTCTCGGGGGACTTTCTCTGCGTGCAGTCGGTCACGCGGGCGCCACGCTCCCTCCCTCCGGGGCCCCACCGGGGAGACGCAGGCCTGTGCACCCTGAGACCCACGCGGCACCCCGGGGCCTTTCTGAGGAGAGCACCTTCTCTCTCCTCTTTGCGCCAGTCCCGCGGGGCAGTGGGAGGGAGCCAGGCGGGGCGGCCCCGGAGGGTGAATTCCCTCGGGCAGGGTGGCGAGGAAGAGATTGTCCTGGAGATTTCACAGTGGCTGGGCTTCCCCGCAGCCTGGCTGGCACGGGGGACGTCCCTGGTACACAGGTTCGGGGATCTGGACCCTGCGCGCTCACGTGAAATGGACCAGATGCTTTTTCTCTAACAAGGTTCAAGTGGCGGGTGCTCTGCCCACAAGGTTAAATGCGGGACTTCGTGCCAGACGGAGGCCGAGGCTTGCTCCCTCCACCTGCGTGCCAGTGAAAAGATGCAAAGTCAAGCGATGTTCTACGTGATCCCAGCAAAGAAAGAAAAGAAAAGAAAAAAAACAAAACAAAACAAAAACAAGCGATTATGGGTTTGTGGTCTGCATACTATGAGCACCGGGAAGGAAGGATAACCGCGAACCTGGGCCGGCGGGTGGGAAGCAGAATCAGGAGGTCAGACGTGCCTTCCGAGTGTGGTCGCTTAAGCGTTCAGGCTCCAGGTTCGTGGGCAGCCGTGGGGATGCAGGCGGGGTGAGGGGGATGAGGGGTCGGGGGCACTTGTGACTCCCAGTCTAGTGCACGTGGCTCCCCACGCCAGGTTTAAGACCCTTGAAAAAGTTTTGAGATTCAGCGGGCTAGAAGGCAGGGAAGCAAGCGGTGATTCTTGTCTGTGTGTGCAGGGGCTTGGAGCGACTAAGAGGAGGGTGGAGGAGCACGCGGGCCGCGGGGGGCCGGGGGTGGGCGCCCCCCGCGATTAAGGCTGCGCAGCGGCGAGCCCTCTCTCTGCCCACCTGGATTTCTCTTCTCATCTCCTTTTATCCTTTTCTTCGCTCAGCAGAACTCATGGTTGCCCTGGGGCTATTTTATTCTGCCCGTCATCCAGGTACGCACAATGTGCATAGAACAGGCTCCTAACACGAACGATCAGTGTATGTATTGTAGGTCAACTGAGAGGGGCTCCTTTCTGGAAAACTCCACGACTCCAATAAAGACAGGGAAATCTGCGGGTCAGGTGGTCTTTAGTTTTTAGAAACCCATTCATCCCCTCAGCGTTGTTTTTGACAGAAAAGCAAGGTGAAAACGCAAGGACATTTAGGTGCCCCACACTTCATTCTAGATATTGCTCCTTTTCTGGGCTCGCTGAAACACTTTCTAAGTCCTTGGGGCTCTACCTTCCTCCTCTTCCCCCAGGGAGCCTGAACCCTGCCCCAGTGCACAAGATCTCTTCACACAGGTGTAGACCTACTGTTTCAGTTACTCAGGGCTTTCCTCAAATATATTAAAAGGAAGAGTCCAGTTTAACTAGTGAGAATTCACAGAGCAGATTAATTTGACCTACATGTCATACATCAAAAGGAAGAATTAAATAATGATAGAAAATAAAATCAGGAAGATAAAGCAGAATTAAATCCTTTATCAAAGCCCTGGGGATAAGACAAAGTGGAGAGAATTTTCTAAGATGAAGGTGATAGGAAAAACCACATTGACAAGATCTGAACGGTATAACAGTGTTAAATTGCCTCAGGTGACAGTATAACTAGACATTTTAAAACAGCAGATGGGGAAAAAATATTCACAGTAAATCTGACAGTGTTAAAATCTTTATTATGTATACAGCCCATGAAAAAGAATAAGAAAAATATTGAGACAACCTCCTAAAAGTGACACAAACTGGCATTCTCCAACAGAGAAAACAATCAGGGAAAATAGCTATAGGAAAAATACATGTTAAAGTAATATGACTTTTAAACTTTTAATATTTAAATTAAAATATTAATTTAATATCAAAAGAAAAAGTTGTGGAAGTGTGGTGAAATTGGTGCTCTCATTTTGCACCAGTATCATTGTAAATTGGTAGAAAGCATTGGAAAGCAGTTCTACTGTAATTTTCAAGAATCATGCAAGACATCACTTTTGACTTAGTTTCCCTGGAAAACTTCTAGAAAATCATTCAAGAAGATCATCAAAAATATCAAAGAGATAAATACTATATTAACTAAAAATTCATGATAATATTATAAGCGTGGAAAATTGTAAACAGCATAAATGTCCCATTATAGGTGAACAGCTAAATAAAGTGTATTCTAACCACGGAATAGAATGTTATGCATCTTTAAAATTACAAGCATGTAGACAAATTTGCTACATGGAAGATTTGTTTGATATGAGGCCAAGTGAGGCGAAAAAACCAGGATACAAAAGGTATAACAGTAACATGTATATAAAAATATATACATAACATTACTGTACTGTACACTTAAAAATGACTAAGGTGGTAACTTTTATGTTGTATTTTTTTTACCACAATGAAAAAGTGTATGCATATGAGAAAAATTAGAAGGGAATATACAAAAGTTCTAGCTTTTCTATTGTGGTGCTGCTATTACTGCTGCTAAGTCACTTCAGTCGTGTCCAACTCTGTGCGACCCCACAGATGACAGCCCACCAGGCTCCCCGTCCCTGGGATTCTCCAGGCAAGAACACTGGAGTGGGTTGCCATTTCCTTCTCCAATGCGTGAAAGTGAAAAATGAAAGTGAAGTTGCTCAGTCGTGTCCGACTCTTAGCGACCCCATGGACTGCAGCCTCCAGGCTCCTCCGTCCATGGGATTCTCCAGGCAAGAGTACTGGAGTGGGGTGCCATTGCCTTCTCCATTGTGGTGGTAGGATTTTAAATACTTTCACTTGTCTTTTTTAAACATTTTAGACAATGTTTTTTATGTTAGTAACTTAAAATGTTTTATATTTACAAGTGATATTATCTCTCCAAGTCCTGAGCTCATTTGTTACACCAGAATGTCAACACCTCTGATCAAGTGGGATGCTCAAATGACAGCCTGTATTATTTGCTTTTCTGTGCTTTTTTCTAGTTCATTTTATTTGAAATCAGGAGAAATAAAAATGAAAAGGAAGAAAAGATAAACAAGAACAGACATTTCAAGTGTCTGCTTTGCTTCTTCCTCCTTTTCTTTTTATTTGTATTTTTTCCTTTGAACTGGGAAGATTATATGATTTGGCAATTTCCTATTACTACCACAGTGACTCTGGATTGCATTTTTGGGGACAAAGTGAGGGGGTGCGAGAAGTTTGTAGCTCAGTGATCAAATCCTCTGGTGATTCACTTCACAAGAAAACATTTCATTATAAAAACAAAGTTGCCCAAATGCTAGAAAATCCTGCCACTGTGTCACCTTTGCTCTTATCTTTTAGGGAAACTGGACTTCCAGTAACTACTTTCACTACTGTTTCTCAGAAGGTGGTCCTGTGGGCTGCTGGTGGGGCTAGAGAAAGGTCCATTAAAGGCAGAGACCCCTGTGTTTACCAGAAATCAGTCATGTTCCAGGAAATGGGCACAACCACGGACTCAACAAAGATCCACGCCTCATGGAGCTCAGTTCTAGAGTGGGGGGACAGATGGAAGGGAAAACATCTATTTTGATGGTGATACAGGGACTGATGAAGGGAGGTCAGGATTCCCAGGTAGCTCAGCAGTAAAGAACCCGCCTGCCAATGCAGGAGACCCAGGAGATGTGGGTTCAATCCCTGGGTCAGGAAGATCCCTTGGAGAAGGAAATGGCAACCCAGTCAAGTGGGAAAATCGCATGGACAGAGGCGTCTGGGGTCGCCACAACCGAGTGACTGAGCACGCTCCCATGCATGAGGGTAGTCAGGCAGGCTTTTCTGAAGGAGACGGGAAGAGCTGTTCCTTCTGCGTTAACAGCGAGTTCAAGAGCCTCATGGGACTGTGCCTAGTCATTCCAGAAACTGCAGGAGACTGGAGTGGACTGAGAAAGGGCTGGATACCATGAGGTGAGGTCAGAAAGGCAAGGGGCCAGGTCACGCGGGGCCACCTGGACTACTGGCTTTTATGGAAGTGAAATGGGAAAACATTGGAATCTTTTGAGCAGAGATGTGACATGATCTGACTGTCAGTTCTTACATGATCACGTTGGCCACTGCATCAAGAACAGATTGAAATGGGCAAGGAAGAAAAAAAGAGTTGATGGCAACACACCAGGAGAGTGGGGGTGAGGGTTTGGAAGTTGTTGAGAGTGGAGGAGCCTGAGGCCAATTTGCCGGGAAGTCAGTGAGCATCAGCTTCAAGGCCCCTCACTTGGACCAGAATGGGCCCTGACAGTGTGTTCATATGGTGACAGGGCATAATAAAATTTGCACAGCTGGGATATTTCAGCCACAGATGGTTCAAACCACTGTCTCTTTCCACCCCCGACTTCCGCTCAGTCCATTCAAGTCTGGTGGTGTTGAAGTGGCTGTGGGTATTTGGGGGAAGGTTTAATCAGAAATATATTTATATACTGGGATACAGGGATGTGGTTTGCAGTC